GTGGGCGGCCCTAGCTCGCCTCGTGGCCGCCTTCGTGGCGCCCGCGCTCATCCGCCGCCAGCTCGACACGCTGCTGGCGCGCCAGGCCGAGCTCGAGGACACCGAGGTCAAANCAAACTACTGTGCGCCCTTTACCTTTCTTCTTTAGCTAACGATGTCAACTCTACATTGTTCTATTCCATGGCCCATCAATCTTCCCGCTTCGTAATCTGCTGCTGCCTACTTACTCTTTACTTATTGTATAAATGAATGCACACCGCCCTCAATGCACTCCTGGATGACTACCCTCATCGTGACATATTTGCGGACCCTTGGCATAAAATATTGTCAACTTGCCAATCCTTTTGTGAGCAGTGTTCTCTTTAGTCTTTAAGATGTTGTTATTATGTTTGTTGTTACCTTACTATTTAATTACGTAATCTATATATAATATAAAAGAAAGTCGTGTTAGTTACTCCACTTATAACTCAAGAACGGCTGAACCGATTTAGCTGAAAATTGTCAGGGAGGTAGTTTAGAGCCAGGAGAAGGACATAGGATACTTTTTATCCCGTTCGAAATTAAAAAAAAAAGTCTGCTTATTTATTGCCATTAAGGCGGAACAAAGTTCGCCGGGTCAGCTAGTAAGGTATAAACCTGTGTAATTAAAATTAATAAATAAATGTGTTTGGCAGCGGATCAGCTGGCGATCTGGAGCGCAGAGGGCACAGAGGAAGGCGAGGACCGCGAGCGGCCGCAACTGGCTCCGCAGTGGTTACACGAGCCGTTCTCGCGCGCGCTCGAACTCGCCGACGCCGCGCTCACTGGACACACGTGAGTAATCTGAGAGCAAGATGCGTTAATTAGCTTAGAGATGGATTTTGTTTCTCGAAAAATAAGAACGATTTTAGCATAATACTTAATTGTACTTCGTTCGTTTCAGCCAAATAACTTGCACTGCCGCATAAAAGCTTACCCTTAGGATTTTCATAACGACCAGTCCTGCGCTGCCCGCATCCAGGTTGTTCCTGCGACCTTCACCCGGTCGTCGGTCCACCTAGTGATGGGCTTGCCCACACTACTTCCTCCAGCCCGTGGTCGCTTCTCGAAAACTTCTGCCCCAACGGCCATCAGCTCTATGAGCCATGTGCCCCGCCCAATGCCTCTTTATTTTAGCAATTCTACGGGCTATTGCGGTCTCTTTGGTTTTCGTGCAGATTTTTATTTATTTATTTAAACTTCAGCACACAAAGTAGCAATGCACTGTGGCGGACTTAATACCGGATGGCATTCTCCTCCATATGTTTGTCTCGAAGCGCTGGTAGGGCCCTTTAATAAGGGCTACCTTTTCTTTTTTTATTATTTTCTATAATAATATTTTGACGTTCATAAGTGCCACTTGTGGTCTAAACTGAATAAATACTTTTGATTTTTGATTTCTGTCAGTCAACCACGGGTCATGCAGAAAGAGTAAGGCGGAGTAAAATTAATTAAATTTTTGATAATAAACCTTCTTACATAAGATTACATAAAATAAATAACATAATACAAATAAATATAATAGACATACACATAAATACATAAACATAATAATATTATAGATGTACACATAATTTTCTTATTGTACACATCATTTTATTATTATGATTGTACTCATTTATGTTTAGAGCGGGCGTGGACTCGTGCGAGATGGTGGCAGGGTCAGACGCGCACGCGATTGCATTAGGCTGCGCGCTGCTGGCCGACGCGCTGCACGAGCTCACCACGCGCGCGCGCGGCGACCTCACGCACCACTACATACAGCACTACAGGTGGGTGGCAATACCTTCGATACTCTCTTCGATGCTAGCCATAAAGTTAATTTATCTAGCGAAATAGAGCAACAAAGCCAACTGCGTAAAATTGAACTTAATAAAAATAAGCCTTAGTGTTCACAAATGCAGTCAGAGGCATCAATGACTAATTCTTCGTTTTGTTGGTGATATGTATTTGTTTTTTTGAAGACTTGAAATCCGCCATTTTTCTTTTTTAAATTTTATTATAGCCAGTGTCACTCTCATGATTAAGACGAATCTAACGATACCTCCCACGCTAAAATCGGTCAAACCGTTTAGGCTATAGGCCGTGCTAAAGAAATATACATACATACACTCGAAAAGCGTAGTATATTCGAAATCGGGAGGCCTTTGTCCAGCAGTGGACGTCATTTGGCTGAAACGAACGAACGAATTCGAAAAACATAACCCTCCTTCTGGAGCAGTCGGGTAAAAAGAGATGCGAGATGCGACGTAACAGAACAGTTTTTTGCAACCATTTGACAGTTCGTTAAACTTATTGGCACGTTGAAAATTTGAACTCTGAGATTTTTTCAGATTTTACGTGAGTGAAATCGTGGATATTTATCAGAAATAGTACTTCAGAAACGTGACTGATTCAGTAATTGATTTATTGTACAAAACAGTGAAATAACCCTGACACTGATACACAAAAGATATACAGTGACGTTTTAAAATCGGTTTCGTTTGACAGCTCGTGGTTTGCTCTATTCCGAAGGAATATTAAGTTTATGATACTAGCTTCTCTTACAAGACAGTTACATATTTTGGTCTTCAGCATTTAAACATTGTGTTTTCAACAGAGAGAACTACTACACGGAGTCGTTGCTTCCCACGGCGCTGCGGCTGATCCCGAGCGAGCTGCTGAACGCCGCCGCGCCGCCGCCGCACTACGCGCCGTACTTCCACGGCATACCCGACTGGGCGCCCGACGGTGAGGCACATTAATCCTTCAAGGCCCGCGAATCTAGACACAATAGATAATCAATTGTTATGACATTAATGATTGCCGTCTGGGACTCAAGCGGTTAAGGCGATTATCATACTGCGCCGCGGTCCGCGTGATTTCATATAAAAAATCCCGCGCGCAGACGCGTTGTCAGTATGTTGTGCCGCGCGTGTTTTCTATACAAACTGAGGTACTTGCATACAATGATTAAAAATGTCGTCCCGCGTACCGCGGCGGAGCGCGGCGCAGTGTGATAATCGCCTAAACGTCTTGCCGAGAGGAGTATTCCTGAGCCGAGGTCCGAGCCTACCGTGGCGCCCTGAGGCCGCGTCCGTAGTCCCCTCGATCGGGCCCACTAGAAAGCCCGCCGTAGGCTGGACTTTGGTCCAACACCGCGGTGGGCAACCCTCTAGTTGGGTTCGCCATTGATCGGGTGCCTTATGCGCTCGATACGGCCCGATCGTTACAGTACCTTCTGTACTCGCCACTCTGCCCGGTGAAGCTGGAAAAGCTCTTCAAGCTGCCAGCGCGAGTCCCTTAAATAAAATTGAGTTAAGATAAGATGAAGTGTTACTTGCTACTTTGATTTGATACTTTTCCTATCGAATTTTCTTATGAATCATTAGTGGCGTGTTACACCCGTATTCACAAACTTACTATGAGGTCTCATATTAGTGCGTGTGAACGCAAAGGGTCCCAAAAACCTTTTCATAAGACATTACTTGAGTGACGGAGTGCTGTGCGTTCGGACTTCGCATAGCAGTGCTGCTCCACTTAAGCAAGCATCGTTTGTGAATTAGTATAGTGTCATTTATTCATTTGCATAATGTAATTGTATAAGGCTTGGTTATGTTAATAAAATTAATTAAACTAATGATACAGTTTTAGTGCCTATACGAAAACTAATACATGACATGTGTGCGCCTGCGTAAGTTGTGTCTTTGTATAATGGTGTAGCGTGGACGCGTGACGCGGGTTTCCATATGCACACGGCCGGGGGTGGGTGCACGCCGCGAGCGCTCGTGGCTCGTGTACTAGTGGTGCAACTAATATGGGGACGTCGTACGCGATGGGTATCTACCGTGGATCGCGAGCCTGTCAAGCGGCGTCATGTAATGAGGGCTATCGTTTTAGCGCTCACCAGTTAGCGCCACTGTAGAGGAAGGTCCTGTCACTTGCTAGTAGCGAAGACAGTGGCGCCAACTTGTGAGCGCTAAAGTGGTAGGAGGACTATCGCATTTGCACTCATCAAGATGGCGCCACAGTAGAGTAAGGTCCTGACAATCGCCAGGGGTGCCAACTGTTAAGTATAAAAACGATAGCCCTCATTAATGTCGTTTGTCCCTTGCAGACTCGCGCTGGTGGAGCTCGGTGGGGCTGGTGTCGTGCCGCGCCATCTCGTCCTGCGTGGGCGGCGCGGGCGGCGGCGGCGCGCGCGGCTGGTGGGGCGCGGCCGGGCGCGCGGGCCGGGCCCTGGCGCGCCTCGTGGCCGCCTTCGTGGCGCCCGCGCTCATCCGCCGCCAGCTCGACACGCTGCTGGCGCGCCAGGCCGAGCTCGAGGACACCGAGGTCAGTGGGCGGCCCTAGCTCGCCTCGTGGCCGCCTTCGTGGCGCCCGCGCTCATCCGCCGCCAGCTCGACACGCTGCTGGCGCGCCAGGCCGAGCTCGAGGACACCGAGGTCAGTGGGCGGCCCTAGCTCGCCTCGTGGCCGCCTTCGTGGCGCCCGCGCTCATCCGCCGCCAGCTCGACACGCTGCTGGCGCGCCAGGCCGAGCTCGAGGACACCGAGGTCAAATCTTACCACCACCCATGGCCATACCATCCTCGCGGTTATTGTATAACTTCTGTGGAACTAGAATCAGCTCGACCACCACCAGATCGTTCTCATCGCTTCGACTTCCGTATAAAGCCTGGTTCGTGAGCACGTAGAATTTTGTCCAATGACCTGAATTGCGCGTAATTATGTTGCTGTCGCGCTCGTACACTCACTGCGGGCGCGCGTCGAATAGTCGCGACAGCAATATAATTGCACAAAATTCTACATGCTCACGGACCAGGCTTTAGTCAAGATCTACAGCTTGACCGCCTATAAAACCCCAACCAGTCAAAATTGACCCGGGGTAAAGTGGTCCTGTCTTTGGACCCTCGATTAAATCGATCAGAAAAACATTATGAGGAGTTCAAGGAAAAGATCGAGATTCCTTTTTACGCAAAGTGGACGACAGGGGAGGAAAATATTACTGGTAACGTAAACATCATATTTTCCTGGTCATAAACACTTATGTATTTTGTTGTGGTGCAGGTGACGGTGCACTGGACGACGAACGAGGCCATCGCGGTGTACCGCATCGAGGAGCGGCCCGTCGAGCTGTGGGTGCGGCTGGAGCCCGAGTTCCCGCTGGCGCTGCCGCGCGTCACCGCGCCCGCCGCGCGCCCCGCCGTCAGCACCAACTGGGTCGCCATGTACATCGCCTACCAGGTCTGTACCAGGAATGTTATAGATATCCGTAACTGTAACCGAAACCGGTATAATATTATTCATATATCCGTAACCGTATCCATAACCGAAACTACATAACATTAACATCTCTAGTCTGTACTGCACACGTGACTTGCCAGTCTTCGTAAGGACCGGTTTCCACCAAGTCGAAGAAGAGCTCAGAAGTGTTTTGAATAACCTATCAAATTTCCTGGTTTCCTGAATAGTTAATTGGTGGACACTGGACTTAATTTGTCTATTAGGCCCGGATTCCACCAAGGCAGAGCCTATAGTAAATTTTCGTTCGTAGTAGTTAAAAATTGTTGATGGACACATTTTTATGAGCTGTCAAAACGCAGCTCTTCCACAGTCATGCTATAAAACGAGCGTGAGTTTACTAGAGATGGGTTATACTAGGTAAATTTGATACTAGGTGCACCTATTCCTAGTATTTATTAATACTCGATCCAAATACCTGTTCCACCTAGTACGTAGTAATACTTGACGCGACTAGTGCGGACTAATCCACGTAATATGACTTTCAAATACAATTTTCTTTGAAAAGATANCTGGAGCCCGAGTTCCCGCTGGCGCTGCCGCGCGTCACCGCGCCCGCCGCGCGCCCCGCCGTCAGCACCAACTGGGTCGCCATGTACATCGCCTACCAGGTCAGTATCCTGCACACGTAGCATCGAGGACCGGCCCGTCGAGCTGTGGGTGCGGCTGGAGCCCGAGTTCCCGCTGGCGCTGCCGCGCGTCACCGCGCCCGCCGCGCGCCCCGCCGTCAGCACCAACTGGGTCGCCATGTACATCGCCTACCAGGTCAGTACCAGGAATGTTATAGATATCCGTAACTGTAACCGAAACCGGTATAATATTATTCATATATCCGTAACCGTATCCATAACCGAAACTACATAACATTAACATCTCTAGTCTGTACTGCACACGTGACTTGCCAGTCTTCGTAAGGACCGGTTTCCACCAAGTCGAAGAAGAGCTCAGAAGTGTTTTGAATAACCTATCAAATTTCCTGGTTTCCTGAATAGTTAATTGGTGGACACTGGACTTAATTTGTCTATTAGGCCCGGATTCCACCAAGGCAGAGCCTATAGTAAATTTTCGTTCGTAGTAGTTAAAAATTGTTGATGGACACATTTTTATGAGCTGTCAAAACGCAGCTCTTCCACAGTCATGCTATAAAACGAGCGTGAGTTTACTAGAGATGGGTTATACTAGGTAAATTTGATACTAGGTGCACCTATTCCTAGTATTTATTAATACTCGATCCAAATACCTGTTCCACCTAGTACGTAGTAATACTTGACGCGACTAGTGCGGACTAATCCACGTAATATGACTTTCAAATACAATTTTCTTTGAAAAGATACAACCGTAGTATGAATAATGCAATTTGAAATTGAATAATAATTCCTCCCTTCATACTTCAACAGGCTTAGGCCTTAAAAGTTGGCGTATTTAAAAGATGTCAATTTCATAAAAATATTTACATATTTTTTCTTATTTACATGAATATGGTTTGACTACGTTTGTGTGCGTTTGCTTCGTCGCGCTCAAATTTGTTTGGTCAGACAGAGACGGAGTGAATCTCTACGTTCGCACATAAGCTTAGCGAGAAATACTAGGTGCGCGTAATACACGACTACGGATTACGCAATAATAACCTCTATTACTTTGACAGTAGGGTCGGAAATCGTGTAATTTATAAAATACTAGGTGGATCAAGTATTTTAAAAATTGGAATAGGTGCCGCCTAGTACTGTAAAATACCTAGTGTGTGGATCTGTTCTAGTAAATACGTCTCATCTGTAGAGTTTACGAGCGGACGTCTGAGCACCCGCAGCATGCGACCGTACATAAAAGCGCGGCCGTAGCGTATATCTACCCCCCGCCGCGCACATGGACACGTCACACGCCACACTGCGTTCATACCATTTTTCAATGCGAGCGGGCGCCTTCGCAAGTTCTAGCGAAGGCTCGTAAGCAATAACTTAATAGGACTATTACGTCATCAGGTTGAATGATCTGCTAACCGATTGTCCGCAGAACGGCACGATCCTGAACGCGGTGAAGATGTGGTGCGCGGCCATCAGCTCGCACGTGGAGAGCGCGCCGCCGTGCTACGTGTGCTACTGCCGCCTGCACCCCGCCACCGGCCACCTGCCGCAAGTGCGCTGCCACCAGTGCCGCAACCGCTTCCACACCGAGTGCATCGTGAGTGCACACTGCTACATTTCTTTTGTTTATAGCTCAGACGAAATGACAGACTCCTCGTTCTCAACCAAAGCAGGCCTATTAATCTCCGCGAGTTTACATCGAAAACAAAACACGCACGATTGCACCCTACACGATTACTATTCGACAAGGCCTCACATACGAGCGAACATTGACTCACGCACGCATATTCTTGTGTATGATGGAAAAAATGAAGAAAATGGTTTTCTAAACATTGGCAGTATTTAACTGCCTAAATAATAATAAAAACACAGAATGTAATTTTTTAAGTTGCCTGAAGACACTGAGAGGTAAATAAGTAGTTAATATTATTCATGATAATTCATGCTAAATCATGTATTTCCTCCGCCATTTTCAGTAGTTTGGCACCTCACGTCACATCATTTTACCGAAGTCAGCCCTATAGCATCGGCGTAGTACCGATCACTGACGTTTGTCAACAAATGGTGCTTGACTCTTGAGACAAGCTTAATTACACCATATTGTTAATGACATTGAGCATACATTTTTACTTATTATTATTCTGTGCAGTACAGCCAAAATGACAGACTCGTCGTCATCAGCCAAAGTGGAGGTCCACACTGAATGCGCGGGCCTAAAGCGAGCGCGGCGAGCGGCGCGTGCGGTGGCACAGTGACAGTGAAGCGCGAGGATTGTAGCAGTTCGACTTTAGTATCAGGGGTTCCAAACTATGGCTGAGGATTTCACATTTTCTACTAGACAGTCAGATCCTGAGATATGTGCTTACACTTTATCACTATAGTAGAGGGTTTTGCCGTAATCCCCACGCTTGGCAGGCGGGTTGGAGATCGCAGTTTAAAAGATTGATGTTTGTCAGAGAGCGCTGCTGCCCGTTCTCTGTTTGATGTGTAGTCCCTAAGTCGCCTCTTACGACACCTGCGGGAAGAGTAGGGGTTGGTGACAAACGTATTCTACTCTGCCGTCACCACACGGCTTAAAAAAATATGCCTAAAACATCATTTATATGCTACTCTTTGCCTACGATATGAATGATTCCCATTGTTTGTTCCAGCACAAGTGGTTCGTGTCGAGCCACAGAGCCAACTGCCCGCTGTGCCGCTCCAACTTCTAGGCCCGGCCTTACGTAGCGCGATAAGATTTATGTAACATCAACTGGCTTACGTCGGATTTATCATTAGTGACAAGTAAACATTTTTTATTATATAGATGCCATTATCGGACCAGTTCTCTCTCCAGACTCGACAATAGTGCATATGCTCCGCGTGCGAAAGAAACCCCCACAAGACATTTTCAATGAAGGTATTAGTTTTTTTTTTTATTTATTATGTCTCCAGCTAAACTAATATAATAAGCTCCAGTTAAGCCAAATATACGCTTGTATAAAGGCGGGTGTCCTGCTCCATAAAATATAAAACAGGGTCGCAGAAGATCCTAAAGGAGTTTGACGATGGGATCGAACAAATGACCCTCGATTCGGCAGTCCGACACAGATGCCGTTTTGGACTATTGTCAACTCGTCAGTTTATCAAAAGGTATCTGGTATTTATTTTACTTATGCAAAGCTGAAATATTCTTTAATATATCAGATCAGATAATGCAAATAGACCATCAAAAAAATATAATTATTTGTATTACATTATCAGTGGCTACCACCTATTCATCCCAGACATCAGAGATCTTATTCATAAAATTGTAAGGCTTATTTACCTTCATCTAATAGTAGTATTTACCTATAAAATATCATCCTATATTCTGTGGAACAGAAAGACTAACCAAGGGTTCACTAGACAAGTACAAAAAATTATAATGTACTAAATTGTAAATACTCTTCCATTATTGATATTATGATTTAAAGGTTTGTAATAGAAATATTAAAGGGAATCGTTAAATAAAACACTTCGTTTTGCTTTATTAAATGTTCTTAGAAATAACACCCGCTACGTCAGCGTGACGTCATATCGTTCGATCCTGTTGTCTCTGTCTTAGAGAGGGAAGGCACGAGAAACCGGCCGCCCCGCGCGCCGCCACACTTTGCTCGAGTGCTTGGCTGTGACGGACGTTCTCTCGGTTCAGGGACTGTGATATTTGTGACCTAGATCATTATTTCTGCCATAGGCATATTTCTTTATTGCGTTAAATTGATTTGTGGAATTATTGGTTTCGGTTATGTAATAAATCGATATCTGCTGGTGCCGTACATTACTTTTAAAAAGCACTCTCACCTCTGATCCTTAAGATCAGAAGTGGGATTGACCACGCGTTCTAACCGTTTTTGCCATCTATTTTTGCCTTAGTTTGTGATTATCAGTGCAGTGTTAAAAGTTAAGATGACCAGGCGTTCGTCCAGATTAAAAAAAGAACGTGATTATTCTCGTAAACAGTGTCGTGATAAAAGTTAGTTAAACGTCGAACCAACCTGGTGAGGGTCAGCCTCAAGCTGCACCTCAGGGCTCCGAGCATCAGCTTCCTGCGGACCAGGGCTGCGATGACCAGCCTTTGGCGGGTTCGAGCTGCGCAGACCAGTTTTCAAACGTCGGCGAGGTTATGCTGCGCGCTGAAGAAGCCGTGGCTGATGGGGAGCAGGCAGCGGTCGAGGACGCCGCACGATCAGGAACGGCCGTCTTAGAAATAACACCCGCTACGTCAGCGTGACGTCATATCGTTCGATCCTGTTGTCTCTGTCTTAGAGAGGGAAGGCACGAGAAACCGGCCGCCCCGCGCGCCGCCACACTTTGCTCGAGTGCTTGGCTGTGACGGACGTTCTCTCGGTTCAGGGACTGTGATATTTGTGACCTAGATCATTATTTCTGCCATAGGCATATTTCTTTATTGCGTTAAATTGATTTGTGGAATTATTGGTTTCGGTTATGTAATAAATCGATATCTGCTGGTGCCGTACATTACTTTTAAAAAGCACTCTCACCTCTGATCCTTAAGAATGTATTATAAATTTAATAGGCAAAAAGTTTTACAATAACGACACGTATAAAGATTTATATTGTCTAATAGTTTCCGTTCTAATGAAAAGTGATTCGTTTTAGATATTAGTAATAATTAATCTAACTTCTGAAAGATGACTACCATGATTTTTTTGGAACAGTAAATTATTGAAGCTACAAGTGTTATGGTTTTATTGTAATACACTATGTACTATAGTCAGTGTCACCGCTATTTAAACCTACAACTGGTGTGATCTCGCCCTAAGTTCAGAATGGTATCAAGTAGGTGTACCATTGGGATTAATATTAATGTCACCAATCGTGAGTTGAAATTACGTTGATTAATAAATTTGATTATTGCACAACCAACATCCATATTTATTATTTATGCATCTAAATGGGGGTATTGCTACAGTTTGAAAATCGATCATGTTTACTTCTACATTATTTTAATGAAAATGATCTACACACGTGCACGTGCGACAGGGTCTATCATCCAGGTTTAACTTTAGGCCAATGGCAATCCTTAAAGTGGCAGCTGGAGGACGTTCTTACAATATCCCATTTGTGCAAATACCTATCCATTGGCACCTTTCCTCGCATTTTATAGGTATTACGCTAATATTTAAGTAAAATATTCCAAGTTCCAACCATCAATATTGACATTTAATAATTGAATTACATAGACATTTAGAACTTTATAACTTATTTTAATCCTTTATGATACTGTAGTTAACATTTATTTGAATATGCTTGTTGTACATCGAGAATTTAAAACTGTCTACAAACACCAATATTTAATTAATGGTTAATATGTTTCACATTCAGAAATACTCTTCTTAGGCCAGGTGTCCACTCAGTCCACTTCAGATGAGACGTTCATAACATTTTATTTAAAACTTGTTGGTCGATAGTAAAATTGTATATTTTGTGCTTAAACCTAGTAATTATGTGGAATAGGTTACTTGAAACCAGTGGATACCGGACCTGACTGATTAAGCACGGAACCTACAATGTCTGTGTACGAATGAAGCTTTAATTGATATTTATTTTGTGCTTGTATGGTGCGCCACTAGCGACGCATCTTCAGTTCATTCATCAAAACAGAAACACTCCCGACTTGTCGTTCCCACGATTGCTCCGTTGAATGTGTCTTGCCACATCCCGGTATGTCGGCAATCAATATTAACAACAACGTTATCCTTCACAATATTATTAGCAATCCCTGTGTAATCAGTCTCACCATTTAATTACATGTTTTTCGCCGTTGCCATTCACTGTAGCTGCGTTTTCAACGAACAATCCTTCAAGTGTTGTCTTTTGTCTAACAGTCGATTAGTATCCTTTCAGGAGCGAAATACATCATCAAGAGGGGATAAGTGAAAATACGTAACAAAAATAAAACTACTATTGTGCGTCTCGTTTCCAGCGCGCACTTTTGATGACCTCGATGAATACTTAGCGGCGCCGCAGCGTAAAAACTAACAAGTAAACTAATGTTACACCGGCCAAATCGTTATCTAAGGGCAGAGAGCAGAAATAACAGGAGTAGCAGCGCGCGTTTATTTCCATACAAAAAAATTTCGCCATTTCCTTAGGGGTACGAGGTAATGACATTTGTGTAACAGCTGATGGCGCTGAGACACTATCGATATTTTTGTCGATGAGAATCATTGCTCTATGGTTCATAGTCTATGGCTCGTTTAAAAAAATGATATGAATTAATTTATTATCCTATGGGAGATTCAACATTTCAGATCTCTATTTAAAGGAAAATACGCAAAAGTTTGGCATTTCTTCCCTAGCACGAATACGAATTGTGAAAGTTAAGAGTTATATGAAAAAAACTAAAAAGTCATTTATATAGGCTCTTAAAAAGCACTTTTACACGTCCCAGTATTAACCCTACCACCATTACCCTACACTACCCATGAAATAGGTACCTAATATTCTTATATACCAAACATGACCCACGGCCACACTCCCTTGGCAAAGGGGATCGACTATCAGCCTTAGGCCCGGTTTCCACCAAAGCAGAGCGGTACGGAGACGAGAGATGTACGACGAAGCTGGCAGGCTATTTCCACCAAAGCGGAGCGGAGAAGAGCGCAGCGGTGCTGAGACGAGAGGAGATGCGTGAGCTGTGCGTAGCTGTTAGCTGTCAGTCTATTGCTATCTATGAAATACCGCACTGCTCCGCACAACTCCACACCGCTCCGCTCTTCTCCGCACCGCAAGGCAGCGTCAAATTCTATAGAAAATCAAGTGCACCTGATTCTTCTCCTCTTGATTCATTTCCATCGAAGCGGAGGGGAGTGAAGATGTGCAAATAAGGGAATCTGATTGGATTCAAAAAACTTCTCTGCTCCACTCCGCCTTAGTGTAAACCGGGCCTTAGAGGATGAACAGGAGGTGGCATTTTGAGCATTCATGCTCTTTCAATATTCTTTATTACTTTAGCGTATGTGAAGGTACATAGAAGGTTAGTTCAATGTCGAAATTCAACTTTCAAAGATGGTACGGAACTCTGTTTTAATTTTCTTTTGTTCGGTTTATACGTAAAATTATTTACAGGAGAGAAGTAAATCTTTCTAACAATACAATCACCAAGTCGATGTCGATATCGATATTTCATATTGTGCTGTACCACACTAAAATTTCCGCTGGGTGGCCAGCGTATTGAAATAAAAATGTACACACTTTTGACTGACCATAATATGTAAAATAATGAAACAGGCAAATTCCACGAACATAATTAATTGTATTATTACAAACGTTTGGATATAGGATTTATTTACATTAATTAATTAATATATTGGCCAAAGCTGTTATTGGCATTCATACACACTAAACTTCTTTAAGTAAGATTTTCATATAATTACTTTGTATGTAATGTTGTTGGTATGCCTCATTAGATAAATAAATAAATAAATTTTCCAGACTGGCAAAAAAGGAAAGTGAGAAAAACTGAAAAACTTAATTTCAATTTTTATTTACAGAGCAAGAAACTATTAAAAGCCTTGTTTCGAAGGTTAACAAAAATATTCCTACACATTTTTATTATAATAAGTACTTACATTATACACATGACTTGAACAGATAGAGAAAAATGGTGAAAAATACAAATATTATTTATTATTATAGTATATAATAAGATCCAGATATTGCGAGTAGTTGGATCTTTTGGAAATCTGTAAAATAGCGGGAACTTACTTAACACGTTTATTATGTCAGGGTAAATGTGATAAATTGAAAATTATTAATAATCGCCGGTTATTATGAATAATTCCCGACAGTCGAGGTAAAAGTAATAAATGAATTTACATTTATCAGTGATTATTAATAATGTATTAATACTAACAAATATCATAAAAGAGAACACCTATTGGCAGTATCGAATTGTTTGCATAGAATTTCGATGATATTGTTATAAGTACACTATCCTTAAAATATTACACAATTAGGAATTTTTGCTTTCCAGTCATTCCAGTGGCAACACTTCTAGAAATTTAGTTTTTTGCAAATTTAGTGTATTAATTAATGTGAAATAAATAAAATAATATTTACCGATGGAATGTAATGTTGTCCTTTTCAAGATTTGATGTTTCAGATCTCTTCTTACAATTAAAAACACTGCAATTCACCATTTTTATCGCAGCACGTTACTCTTCAATAGTGACATTTGGAATATGTCATTGGTGGCGCTGCAACTAGTTTTTATAAACTGAGTGGACCACTGGTCTACTTACATTGCTAGAGGGGATTGCCTGTCAGTTCCACTCCTGTTATTTCTGCTCTCTGTCTAAGGGCGTTTTTTTAGCTAGCGGACACATACAGTCTCATAAAATAGTTACAAAACGACAGTCGTGTAAAGATGCTCACAAAATAAGAGCTACTTAGTATAGCTCGGTTACATTTAGGGTTCAAGTAAAGAGTAATTAGTAAGCTCCAGGATAGTCTAACCGTGCGCGCGCATGTCTCAGCGCGTCGCGAGCTGGCCGTTGATCCAGTCCACGTCCTCGCACATGCGTGGGTCCGCCACGCGCAGCGCCGCGCGTTTGGCCACGAAGTAGTACCACGGCGACACTGCGCGGATGCAAAATATATCGGATCAGCAGGAAGACTTGATCCGCTCAAGTGGCAGTGGGCGGGGCATAACTAGTAGAGACGGTGGCCGTTGGGGCAGAAAAGTTTTCGAGTGGCGACCGCGGGCCGGAAGACGTAGCGTGGCCAGGCCTCCCACTAGGTGGACCGACTATCTGGTGAAGGTCGCGGGAAGAGCCTGGATGCGGGCTGCGCAGGACCGGTCGTTATGAAAATCCTTGGCGGAGGCCTTTGTCCAGCAGTGGGCGTCATTTGGCAGGACCCATACGTGATAGGTCTATAGTTACTCCAACTTCCGCTTAAGGCGGTTCTGTTCGCCGCGCGAATTCCATGTGCTTCGCAACGGAACAATAATAAAATACTCCCAACTCCCAGTAGACTTGTTCTCGGTTGTTCTTAAGCTGCCAAATCAAGTGAATGCCAAACCCCTAAGTGGTGTGATGTGATACTCACACACGCGCTGGATGGTGAACAGGGCGATGAGCAGCGGCGAGGAGATGGACTCCTTCTCGGTCCACTTGTCGAGCAGCCAGGCCGTGTGCAGCACCACCGACGCCACCATGTACGCCAGGCACACCGAGCCCGCCGCGCGGAACTTGCGGATCAGCACCTCCACCAGACCGGCCTGCCGGAAGCAAACAATACGAAAGGAGTTACACAACTTATAAATCCGCCTCGTATTAGTTGCCAAGTCGCAACGATCTAGGTCTTTGACGTCATAGCTACTCGACATGCATCGAAGTGCGCGCGTTTTCTCAGCCAGTTCATCAAAAATCTAATTCTAAATGACATCTAATCGCGTCTAGCATCCACATTTCCTGATGCCTTTCAATACTGATTGACCACCAGAAAAGCCAACTTTTTCCTGTACCTAACCAAGTAATTACTGATGTACATATACGCGCGCAACTTAGATATTCTGATGTTACCTAACTCGAGTTTAATCGATTTGATGAAGAAGTAGTATAGGTAGGATGTATTGCAGGTATACATTTGAACGAAAATATTGTTTCCTTGACCTAACTTCACCCTTGTCCATTGTGAGATTTAAACCCGTTTATATTTTAATACAAACTGTTACTACTGCCGCGAATGAGGAATACCCATATTATCTCTATTATGTTGCAACAAAAGTAACGGTTCGCTCAAACGCATTTGATTGATTTGTGGCGAATCGGTTGATTTTCGGGATGGGTGCTCAACAGAAAGAAAGTCGCCCCGGGTGCCAGCCCATGCGTGGTGATAATAAAAGCTAAAGTTTAGCTAGAGCTAAAGATACACATACCTGGAATAGGTATGTTGAGAACAGCGTTATCAACATGGTAGTGATGGAGAGTACCAGGAATAAATCTTGAAATCTGAAAAAGAAATAAATGTTATTAATTATCTAAGTAAAATACTCAACTAGCTACTCAGGTAGCTGCCTGAAACTTAAATAATTATGTTTGTGAACTTACATGAATATTACAAGAAGTCCGTCGCGAGATCTCGGGAACAAACTTATACAGTTGAAAAACAAATCGAATACGATGGCCACAATTTGAAACATTAAGCAAAAACTGTATCTTGACGTAGAAAGCTTCATTTTGGAGCACGAATATTGCTTACGATTTTTGTGCACTCTCTTCTACTGTAAATGCGACTTGCAAACAGGCGCGCGTTTATGACGCTGCCGGGCCCGGCGAAATCGGCTGTATTGATTTATTGAAGTCACGTGGGCAGACTCTGCTTTGTTCAAGTTATTGATTTTCAAGTTGAAGCAATGGTTGAAGCACAAGATAAGTGCACAAAGTGGATTGAATAGAAAGATATTTGTTTTCAAAGGAGTATGCTAGTAGTAGTAAGAAGAAGCAAAGTATGATAAGGAAAATTGATTTGATAAAGTGAATCCCATCAAAAACATTCTGTAAAAAAACTAGCCAAGTCTCGATGGAGCTGCTTGTTTATCTCTAAAAAGTAATGAAATCTAGACAAAGTCGTGCCAAGTCTATGGTTCTTTACTGCGATTTCTTTATTATTATATCCAGATCTTCGATTTTCCTAGTTTTTATAGTTTTCCCTTTATGTGGCCATTAAACCCTAACTCTGTACCAAATTTCAGCTCTCTGAGTTTATGGGAAGTACTAGTTCTATTTTGATGATCATCAGTGAGTGAGTGTCATAAATGCGAAACTTTGCTTTCGCTTAACTTCGGAAATAAATGACCTACAGACTTGAAATTTTGGATTTTAAGTATGTGATTATAGCTTACTAGATGACGAAAATTTCTGCGTTCTGGTCTTATCCAGAGGTTCTCAAATAGGGGCCTGAAAATGCGGCGAAATGGTTCCAGTAAAGGATGGTACGGCAGTGTTTGCTTCGCGCTCGACTTGGCGGGGGCACTGCCGTGCCCCCAGAATAACGCGATAAATTCATAAACTGGGCTGTATAATCAATATTTCATCGCTGCAAAAGTAAATTAAAGAAAAATAATGTCTATATGACAGTGACAGATGTCAAATTCCTGAATTGTCAAAATGACAGATGAAAAATATACGACGAATACAGGCAGCATGTTTGTTTTCGTTCTATTTGAATGAATAATTTATTATTTATTTAGTGTAACAAGTTTCTTTCGCTGTGAATTGGAAACCCAAAGTGCTTTTTGTATTTTGACGAATAAAATAAATTAACCGCGAAAAGCTATGACAGGGGACGAGCGTGGTCGGCGACGAAGCAGCGACCGACACCGCAGCCCCAGTCGCGATAGGCACAGAAGCAACGAAAGGGACAGGCCTGACCGCAGCAGAGATCGTCACAAGGATCGCGAAGCAACTCGTGATCGAAGCAGAGACCGTGAACGGGTGCGGGAGCGTAGTAGAGACCGTGAGAGGACTCGGGAACGAAGCAGGGACCGCGACAGGCCGCGCGAGTACAGCAGGGACCACGAGAGGACTCGGGAGCGAAGCAGAGATCGCGGCAGACCTCATGACCGCGACCGAGCTGGAGGCCGAAGCTCATACAGAGAGTTCAGTGGTGGTGGACTTGGCAGTGGTGGAGGTTTGGATCTTTCTACTATGTACCTTTAGGTGCCATTGTTGCAATTATATTCTTAGCCTCAGTTGCACCACCTTAACTTTAAGCCTATGTGCAGACCATCGATTTTTCGTCGGCTGATAGTTTAGTCGGGCAGTTGATCAGTATGGGTATGTATGAAAGTGCACACATTACACTGATTTGATTTGGCCGATTCTTCTTACAAATTAAAATCGGGCCCTACTATCGGCTAACTAAAAATCGATGGCCTGTGCCAAGGCTAACTATAACAGATTTTTGACGTTTAATATAATTAGGTAAGATGGTGCAACCTAGGGTTAATGAGCATGATAACAGAAAAATTGATCTTTGTGCTATTGCTTTTTACTTATCAAACTCACTAAAAATGTTAATGTTTATAATTTGTAGGTTTGGGTAGTGGAGGAAGTGGGCCCAAGACTCGCTACAAGCCCCAAGAGGAAGAGTTCCTGGACGCCCGGCGGGAGGAGCGCGAGAGGATTGGACTGATCGGTGTCTCTTCTGTTTGGGGCAAGTCACCCATGAGACCTGAGTAAGTTTTAATTCTAGAAATCTTAGTTTATTTCTATTGGTGATGTTTTAGAATAGAACATCACCTAGTCTTTAGTAATGTATGTAGCATGGTAATTGTTGTAACTATTTGTACCTTAAAAGATGCTCATCAAAATTATAAGCTTTATTTGTTTATTTCATAACAGCTCTGAAGAAGAAACTTCACCGGCAGAAAACAGCAGTAAAAGTAAAGAGAAAAAGAAAAGCAAAAAATCCAAAGATAAAGAAGACACAAAGCAAAAACTAAAAAAACTGAAAAAGAAATTGAAAAAAGTAAAGAAAGCTCGCAAAAAAGCAAAAAAGAAATCCAAGAGCTCCAGCAGTGGCTCCAGTTCAAGCAGTGAGGAAGAAATTTGGGTGGAAAAAGGAAGTAAGTTTGAATTGATACATTATTTTTCCTATCCTAATTAACATCTCAATACTTATTGCTTCACTATATTAGCATTTAGGTATTACAATTCAAGCAAATCAATCTGATGATTGATCATCTGTTGATTGATGAATGATGATTTATTGCTGTTTTCATAGTTGTGATTTTTGTTATAGTTAAGATAAGAAATACATGTTAGGATTGATAGGTCTACTTAACTATAATATTTATTTATTCATGAATAGAATGGTAGTACCAATTACACTATTCAAACAAGACGTAACAAAGTTCAAAATAACATTTAAGAACTTATAAACAATTTAACTTAATTTAGGAAAAGTACATAAATCAGATGCGATTATTTTCACAGTAACCCAAACATTCTGCTAGTAACGTACTCCACCCCTCTGCAAATACGTCACTTATATTGTGGTTAATGGTTCCTAATGTCGTTTTATCATGGCAGAGGAGCACGAAGTGGAAGCCGGCAGCAAGTCGTCGAAGTCCAGCAAGCGGCAGGAGGAGGAGCTGGCCAGCTCGGCGTTCGGGCCGGCGCCGCGCGTGGGCCCCGCGCTGGGCCACAAGGACTTCGGGCGCGCGCTGCTGCCGGGCGAGGGCGCCGCCATGGCCGCCTACGTGGCCGAGGGCAAGCGCATCCCGCGCCGAGGCGAGATCGGCCTCACCTCCGACGAGATCGCCTCCTACGAATCCGTCGGATACGTCATGAGCGGGAGCAGGTGTGTAAAGATTACTTGCTAATCTGCCTTTCTATGATTTCGTAGATTAGCAGTGCTGGATTAACCAAACCAAGGTATGCTCATAGTAGGTGAATTGCTTACTAAATAGGGCATCAAGTAGTCCTAATCTGGTACTATAGATTGGTTGCTAGGATTATAACATGGAATAGTGACTGAGTTTCTTGCGCTGCTTCTTCTTAGCATTGGCCCATTTATTGTCTTTAAGTAGTGGTAGAGTTAATACTGAGACATGTTAAAGTGCTTTTTAAAGCCTACTAGCAAAAATAAATGAGTTTTACGATTTTTTATAATATCCTGTCAGTGTTTTCTCTTGCTCATATGTGGTGTCGTTCGATTACAGACACCGTCGCATGGAAGCCGTGCGCATCCGCAAAGAGAACCAGATCTACTCCGCCGACGAGAAGCGCGCGCTCGCCGCCTTCAGCAAGGAGGAGCGCGCCAAGCGCGAAAACGCCATCCTGTCGCAGTTCCGCGACGTGCTCAGCGCGCGCTCGCAGCGCCGCGACTCTTAGGCCGCTGTCTGACGCCAGGACCCCCAGCGTGCGCCGCCTGATGCCAGGACCACCAACGTGCGTCGCCTGATGCGAGGACCTCCAACGTGCGCCGCCTGATGCGAGGACCACCAACGTGCGTCGCCTGATGCGAGGACCACCAACGTGCGCCGCCTGATGCGAGGACCTCCAACGTGCGCCGCCTGATGCGAGGATTACCAACGTGCGCCCGCCGCCTTCAGCAAGGAGGAGCGCGCCAAGCGCGAGAACGCCATTTTTGTTTGATGCGAGGCCCCTAGCGCGCGTCGCCTGATGCGAGAGCGCTAAACGTCCATCCTCCGCAATGCTGGCTGACCGAACGCGTCCGACTCCCGTGCTGAACTTGCAGCTCACCGAGGCGACGCTTGGTGAAATCATTGGGACAGAGACGAAGTACATGGCTAAATTACAATTAAGTAAGCGTGTTATACAATTCCACATCAATTAACCGTCAAAATATAAATCAACGGAAGTAATTTATAAAAAAGTATGCATAAAGAAATACATCTGATGAAAAAGTAAGCACCATAGTTGCCTTACTCGCATACATTATTATGTATAACACTGGAATGTGAAAAATCTGAACAAATTAATTAATGAGCTGTTAAAAGTATTCAAGAAAACTAGAGAATGAATCTTAATAATAAATAGTTAATCAGATCTGCCCTATTTGTTTACCAAAACAAATGAATGGCTTTTTTTTTCATCGTCCTGTTTGCGCTATCAATTTGTCGAGTTGTTGATAATGGAAATCTGAACTACCTAACTCAATTTTAACAGGCCTTTTTATGAAATTGTAATGTAATTATTATTATATTTATTTCGTAAACTAAGCATTATTTGTTAAATTCATGATCTTTTTATCATGAATCATATTCTGAATAAAAGAAACATGTTTAAAAATAAATTCTTTATTATGTAAACATATTTTATAGTACAAAAAATATAATTAAATTCTTAATTGCTATAGGAGAGCTTCCATTTTAATTTAACTACATTAAACTAATAAAAAGTGCACTTTACCAACATGTGATTTTTGCTAAATATACTATAAAATTATTTGTTGAGGTCAGAGGATCCTAGACTATGTTAAATGACTTAAATCTACATAATAATTATGTTGTATTTGCACCAGATAAAGTAACATCTATGATAACATGATTGTATATTGGTAATACTAGTGAAGTATTGAATAATTGGGTTCAATTCTTGTGATAATGGGTATGTAGGAAAAGATATAAAAGACGTAACTGCATCTCTTGCCTCGCAGCTTACGCAAACCCTATACTAATGTCGGTCAGTCTTATGGTATAGGAAATGTATCGAAAAAGTTTAGTGTAGAAGTGAAAAAATGCAACATGTAATGAAAAGTAATATCTTGTTAAGATAAAGTCATTTACGAAGTTGTGGATTTATTTCATTGGATTTTCATCAGAAATGTTAGTAAACTTGCACACCAATGTAGATACATTTCATCACGTTATAGGTACTCGAGATATGTTTTTGGAGTGAGAAAAATGTACATACGAGTACAGCGTCACGCCGGGGAGTTTTGCTGCTGCGTATTAACGAAATTTCGACTAAAAAGTACTTGACTTTTGACAGAATCCTTTACGACGCAGCGGCGTTACATCAGCTATAGTTTGGTCTGTGAGCACGTAGAATTTTGTCCAATGACCCCAAGCTACCCATCCTAACATAATTCTCGCACGCACACTCACTGCGGGCGCCCGTCGCACAGTCGCGACAGCAATATAATTACGCGCGAACGATAAGGATGGGTAGCTTGGGGTCATTGGACAAAATTCTACGTGCCGCAGACCAGGCTTCATCAACGTTAACCCACAGGCGGGGCCGGCTGCGGCGCGCGTCACTCGAGCGGCTCGTACTGCGCCAGGCGCGCGCGGGTGTCGCGCAGCTGCTGCGCCAGCGCCTGTGCCGCCGCCTGCGCCGCCGCCAGCTGCGCCCGCAGCGCGCTCGCCTCGTCCTCCGCCAGCGTCGCCGTCGCCGGCTCCACCTCGCTCTCTAGCGCCTCCTCCGCGCCCTCCTCCGCGGCGTCCACCGGCGCGTCGATGGAGGGCAGGCTGAAGCCGCAACTGCGAACGATCGTGGATCTGTCATCACCCGCGTCGACGCCGGTCGTCGTCTCGCAGAAGTATGTATATCCACTCACTTCTGCGAGACCACTATCGGCGTGGACGCGGGCTCGGCTCGCGGCGCTCGGTCGGCGGCGTCGGGCTTGGCGCCGGCCACGAGGTGCTCGAAGTTGGACTTGTTCATGATGATCTTGAAGGGGGCGGCGGCGGCGGGCGCGGGGGCAGCGCGCAGGCGCCGCACGCGCGCGTCGCTCGCCAGCTGGACTATCTTCACTTGCTGGAACGTGAGGTGGCGATTGAGAAAATGACGTCGCCGAATCGCATCAGGCATTTTTCGTCGTTCATATTGCAATTTGTTTAATGTCAAAAAATTCAAAAAAATTCTAACAAAATATAAATTATTTATGGACATTTTATATTTATATTAAAAAGAACAAACTGCTTAGGAAACATTCGTTAAAAAACATTTGGTGTCTTAAAAGATTTTTTTCCCATAAGTACGCTGTTTTTTTCGTTCGTTCGTTCGTTTCAGCCAAATGACGTCCACTGCTGGACAAAGGCCTCCTCCAAGGTTTTCCACAATGCACGGTCTGCGCGACCTTTACGAGATCATCGCTCCACCTAGTAGGAAGCCTGCCCACGCTGTTTTTTTACTCTCCTGTAAACTTGTAATTTTTGACATAGAACAAATTGCAATATGAACGACGTTTTGAAACGTTCACATGTTTGAATGAGATGTTCACCTGGAGATCCTGCGGAGTCATGACCTTAGCTCGCGGGCGCGTGTCGCCGCTCGTCGAGGCCCGGTTGTTGACCGTAAACACCTTTGGAAGAGACAGGTTTTTAATCAAAAAATCAAAATCAAAATCAAAATCAAAAAAATATTTATTCAGTTTAGACCACAAGTGGCACTTATGAACGTCAATAGAAAATAATAAAAAAAGAAAAGGTAGCCCTTATGGGGCACTTTACATGTCTCCTTATCTTTTGGGCCCTACCAGCGCTTCGAGACAAACATATGGCAAGTGCTGAGAAGAAACGCCGGAACAAACTCAGTCACCACTTATTGCCAGGAATTATCTAACGGTAAGAATAGTCAAATTTAAGTACATCAAATATGTGCAGACTGAACTGACCACGCATCCTTGTCATCAATATAGTCTCGAACCTTGTAGTACCCTTTGGACATAAGGGTATATCGATATCGGGTAATCGATCGATACATCACTTCACAAGTCAAGCTTATTCCAGCTCAGTTTCCAAGTATCTTCGTACCTTGACGCCGTGGGGCGTGGTCCGCACGGGCGTGGCAGTAAGCACAATGCCGCGCGGCTTGGGCGCGGGCGCGGGCGCCGGCTCCTCGCTCTCCTTCAGCATCAGCTTGCCGGCGTCTGGAGAAGAGGCGACTAGATCACTTGCGCTCGATATAATATGTATGATTTGGATTTCATATACAATCGTTTGGGATGACCTTAGTGGTCGGTCTGTGTCGAGACGTGGCTCCACAATAGCAGGACATGGCTCAAAAGTGGCAGAACATGGCTCAACAGTGGCAGGACATGGCTCAACAGTGGCAGGACATGGCTCAACAGTGGCAGGACATGGCTCAACAGTGGCAGGACATGGCTCAACAGTGGCAGGACATGGCTCAACAGAGTCGGGCCATGATGGGTCACCAGTGTCACTGGGCGCTCACCGGAGAGCACGACGGTGCGTCCGCTCTGCAGCGCGCTGAGCACGGTGGTGGTGGTGTCGGGCGGCAGCAGCGTGATGCCGTGCCGCTGCAGCAGCGCCGCGGCGCCCGCGCGGCCCTGCGTGCTGCTCTCCGGCTTCTGTGGGGCACACGGCTCTTTAATACTTGTCATCTGAGACTGCCTGCCTCCGCTGGTTACATAATCTATTCAATGAAAAGGGTGACGTTTCTGGTTGGAGTCCCTGATTTCAGGGACTCATCGTTTTTTATTATTTATAACAACAGACGATTGTTCGGTAAATAATAAAATAAAATATAAATTGGTTACATACTTCTGTTTTGGCTTCTGGCTTCGCTTGTTTTTCTTGGGCCGGTTTCGGCTTGATTTTTATTTCCGGAATGGGCTCTAAAAGTCAGAATAACTTATATGAAATATCAGGCGGTCACTGGTCATTCTAGACATTCTATTAGTATAACTCAGGTGTGGAACGGGAGGTAATCTTACTCGACGGGACAGTGGTGAACGGTATCGCTCGTGGGATCTCAATCGTCGTCGTCGTCGTCGTAGTTTCTTCCACTTGACGATCTGCAAAAAGCATACACGTTTTTAACTAGGTATTTTATACAATCCGAAGGCATCTAAGAGTGTAAGTCCCACCTGGCATGAGCGCGCGAACGGAGGGCGCGGCCTCACGCAGCTTGAGCTCCTCGTCGATGAGCGCCAGGATGTGCGCGTGGCCCTTAGCGGCGGCCAGCTGCAGCGGCGTCCTTTTGAATTTGTTGACGGCGGCCGCGTCCGCGCCGTGCCGCAGCAGCGCCGCCGCCGCGCCCGCGTGGCCGCGCTCGGCCGCCCAGTGCAGCGGCGTCATGCGCAGCATGTCCCGGCAGTCCACCGCCGCGCCGTGCGCCAGCAGCAGCTCCGTCACCTCCGCGTGCCCCGCGTACGCCGCCAGGTGCAGCGGTGTGCGGTCCACCTGCGACACGAGTAGGGTTTCCAGGTCCAAAACCACAAAAGCCGGACTCTGTGCTTCGTTTGGCCGGACATTTAACCCTAAAAGCCGGACATGTGACGGGGGGAGGGGGTGCAATTAGTGTCATAGCTCACGAGTGAGTATTATCATCGTCGGTCGCCCGACGTCCTGATGCGTGCGCTTCTTATTATTCTGTGGCTCGACTTTCGCCTGGCGCGGTAGCCAAATAAAAAGCCTAACAAAAGCCGGACAGGCCGGACATCGGTTATTTTGGCCGGACACGCAATCAAAAAGCCTAACTATGTCCGGCTTTATCCGGACGCCTGGCAACCCTAGACACGAGGAGATTTGTAACGCGCGCCCGGGTCTTTATGATGTGAGGAAGCGCTCCTGCACACGACGCCGCCGCCGCGCCTTTGCACTGTTTAAGGCCTATTCAGACCTAAGCGGTATTCGCTACCGTCTGCGGCAGAGAAAACGCTCTAGCCGCGGTACTTGATACCCACTAAATACCTGAGCGAAACCCGCGTGGTATGTACCTCCTCTACCCACAGCGGCAGCGAATATCGCTCAGGTTTGAATAATGGAAATTATGCTTTGACGGCGCGGTGGCGGCGCGGCGGCGGTTTTACTCGGCGCGTATGAACAGTGTAGGAGCGCGGCGGCGTTGTGTGCAGGAGCACGACGCCATGCGGCGGGCGACGTACCTTGGTGCGCGCCTCGCGCGACACGCCCGCCCGCAGCAGCACGCCGCACGTCTCGACGTGCGCGTTGCTGGCCGCCAGGTGCAGCGGCGACGTGCCCAGCTGGAACGAACGGCTCGTTTTAATCTCGAACGAGTGAGGGGGGTCTATTCCACTTTGATCACCTGGCTTTGATGACCCAGGTGATCAAAGTCTACTTCCAGTGACAATTTAGTGTCCTTTGATCACCCACGGATACTATGCCCTGGGTGATCGAAGTGAACTCCAATTAAATTATTATTTTAGTGTCCTTTGATCACCTACATACAAATTACACCTCTGAATAGTCACATAAATGTCCAATTGTTATACTTACATATTTTGTTTTATAACATTTTTTATATTTTCTAAAAACCCCAACAAACAAATTGGACATGTATGTGACTATTCAGAGGTATAATTTATTTATAGGTGATCAAAGGACACTAAAATAATAATTTAACTGGAGTCCACTTTGATCACCCAGAGCATAGTATACGTGGGTGATCAAAGGACACTAAATTGTCGCTGGAAGTGGACTTTGATTACCTGGGTCATCAAAGCCAGGTGATCAAAGTGTATTAGACCGTGAGGGGGACCGAGGACGGCTCGCTCGCCGCACTCACCCAGTCGTTAGTGAAGGGCGCGCCCATGGCCATGAGGTCGAGCACGAGCGCGGTGTCGCCGGCGCGCGCGGCCAGCAGCAGGCGCCGGCCCAGCTCCAGCGCGGCGCTGGCCGAGCGCGCGCCGCCCGCGCCCGCCGGCAGCGCGTCCGGCTTCCGACCGGACAAGTCTTCCAGCTGAATGAATGACACAGATAATGAGGACTATCGTTTTTATACTTAACAGTTAGCACCCCTGGCGATTGACAGGACCTTACTCTACAGTGGCGCCATCTTGATGAGTGCAAATACTATAGTCCTCCTACCACTTTCGCGCTCACCAGTTGGCGCCACTGTCTTCGCTACTAGCAAGTGACAGGACCTTACTCTACAGTGGCGCCAACTGGTGAGCGCTAAAACGATAGCCCTCATTACTATTAGAGTATTGGCTCAGTGCTCGACTGAAACTTGCAGCTAGATCCTCCTCTAAAACTATTAACACCTAGCTAAGTCATTAGAGGTTGGTAGATGTTAATAAGACACTGCGATTCAACCTCATTGATGTTTACTTCGCTTACGAAAAGCAATATTATTTGCTTTAACACTGAGTGTATGTAAACCATAACGAATAATCTGTAATCCTGTTAAGTCACTTCATGTCATGAAGAAGATATTTTATAAAGATTGATAACTTGCTACCAAATGTCTAACTTCTTCTAGATATGCACTACAGCACAGAACAAGTTCACAGTCAATAATCAGAAAGTCATATTCAAGAGAAATGCGGTGCTTCAGCACAACATTTATCAGGCCTTCAACAGAACATGGCAAAAAAGATTTCCGCGGTATGTTGAGGTCTTATGAAACAAAAATGCTTTACATTCTCTTCTGCAATTTAACTGATTTTGAAGGTCCAATTGTTTAGATATCTGTTTACTAAGCCCTTCTTCATCAATAAAATTTATCTGTAACACAAAACAATGTATAACAATTGAGTATATTGAGTAACCAGGCACAAAGTTACATTTATAGATCGCGTTAGAGGATGTAGTTTGTGTCATGGTGATATATGAGTTTTATGGTGGTGGTGTATTAACTAGAAGAGTCAATAACAATAATGTATTGCAGAATTAACTGTGAACCACAGAAAACCATTTTGAGCTATGCAATAACACTTACCGAGATGACCTGGGGATGGCGGTATACTACATCGTTGGCACTCTCTGTGTCCATGTCTTCCATGTGACTGGAACAAGGAGGTGTTCATAACTTTAGATAATTCCATTAATTGTAAATTCGTTTGAAATACCACAACACCTTTTTAAACCTCCAGCTCCTTAGGTCAGAAGGTAGGTTAGAGGCTTTGGATTGCCAACAGGTAGGTACTAAACAAACTTTTCACAGCCATTTTATATAAATCACGAATACTTAAAGTGAATACTCTTGCAAAACTTGTATTATTGATTTAGGTTATAATTTTAAAAATGAAAAAGTACAAATAGGGTCAACAATGCCAAACATTACTATGATTATTTTGGGTTGGAATATGTACAGCAGAATCGATCGATTTACTGAAATAATAACATATTAAAATAATTTAGACAAGTTGATAAACAAAAATTTTTTAGGGATATTAAAAATTACTAAATTACCACTTCAATGAATCCATACAAGGTCAATGGGTGCACCATGTTTATGTATCGCAACCCAAACGTTATCACTATAGTCAGCAAAGCACACAAAAAAGCGATCAAAGTTAACTTTTTGCGCCATCACATCAAGTGAAACACAACAGGATGAGGATGTGTTGTTTGGTCGCTAAATGCAGAAGAAAACCATACCGCATAAGTCGCCATAACTTCCTTTTCCTGTCTAAACGGAAGTGATAGCTTCGATATTAAACTTTTCTGTCGCCAACAAAAAATTCAACAGTGACTCACCTTCAACAGTATTAATCAAAAACCAATTTAAATTAGGACTTAAAAGCATCTATTATTATTTGGTAGTTTACAGAATGCAGACGTCATTAATTTTGGCGATTTGGTTTGGCATCAATGGCATGAACAAGATTACAACCGCGAAAAACTTTGTCATCCAAGATGAGGTCCATCAAAAAATTGTTAACTAAAATTATGTAGGTAACAACTAACAAGTACTGTTATATTAATTCAATAATCAAAAAATATTGTCTGTTTTTATTTAATTTATTATAAAATTTTATCCGTAATAATAACGTTATTACGTTACTCGTTATAGTAACGTTACTGTGATAATTCTAAAAGTATTGTTCGATTATTACACTAGATGGCGTGTTGGTCAGTCAGGCATAGCAAAAAATAGTGGCCAAATGCAAAGACAAGTCATCATCACTATAATATTACGTGGATTCCTGGCAATGAAGTACGACATTGCCTTGTGCCGATTGTACGTAGATTTTATCGACACAATACCATAGGATATGGAGCATGCCACCATTTATTAATCTAAGATGCCACCACAGAACGCCCTAAAATGTCCGGATGTCGTAATAGTACCTATTATGAAATAAACGTAAAATACTTTTTTGTTTCATTTTCTAATGCTCAGGAGTCCGTTACAATCTAACTAATATTTATGTACTAGCGGCCGCCCACGACTTCGTACGCGTGAATCCCGTTCATCTATCTTACGTGGTTTCGATTTTTTCATATGTTTTTTCCCGCTAACTCCCGTTCCCGTGGGAATTTTGCAATATCCTGTTGTAACTAAGCTTTTAAGTTTACTAAGGTACCTGCATGCCAAATTTCAAGCGTCTAACATAAGCGGTTTAGATTTTTAATTCAAAAGGATTTTCCCGCTAATTCCCGTTCCCGTGGGAAATTCGGGAATTCCTTTCTTAGTACACCTTTACGGTACCTAAGCTACGTCCCTTCCAAATTTAAAGTGCCTACGTTTAGCTGTTTAGGCTGTGCGTTGATATGTCAGTGAGTCAGTCAGTTTCTCCTTTTATATATTTAGATTAAAGAAATTAGCGATTAATTTTGGTAGGTAGTACTTTGCTGTGCCCAGGTTCTTGGGCCGTTTCTGACAATGTCCTTTCTCCAAATTATGCCACTATTACAGGTAGATTTTACTAATTTGTTAAAATACCTAAAAATGTGCCTTACTGCCTTTCTTCTGCGATTACGTACTCCTTGTTTCGTACGGAATTTATTTTCTTTTTAAATAGTTGGTATTTTTTTAATTTTTTGTTTATTTTAATTTTTTTATCTATGACGCAAACGACGAATTTTAAGAAAAAAAAAAGGTAAATAAGTAAACAAATTCCTTTTTGAAGTACTATTAGGTTATGTACGAAATTTTACTGTAGGTAATTACAAAATTTATGCGTGCTCTGTGTTATTAAATTCGCAGGTAGACTCGAAAAACTCCGTACCCTTTCATCTTTCACAATGTCTTACGATGAACGTTTTTCTTTCACAGTGTGAAAATCGCGGAAGACATCATCAATTTTCAAAGTGTTGGACTAAAGACAATTTTGGGTGTGTTAAACTGCTCTGTGATAAATATGTAACTGAACTAGGCTGTGATAAATAATCGCAATCTTTGCGGACGGCGGCGGTGCCCGCGGAAGTCCAGCCCAGCCCAGCCCTGCACCGTTCATCAGACCGAAGACTGCCAGATTTCACCGTAAGTTCTATGCACCTGCCTACTTGCTTTATGTTATTTAATGTTGCTGTTACATTATTTCTTGTGCGTAATTTTAGGGCAAACTAAATAACCTACATTCCGTGAACCTTAGCTCTCGCAGGAATTTCGATATGATGTGAGGAAAGTCATATTCATTGTAGTTACCTACCTCGTGGGGTTGGAGCGCCATCCATTTGTTTTGAGTCCACAAATTAACGCGAATTATCTACTTACGCGCTAATGTGTTAATTTTGGGCTGTGCCTCCTGTGATCTGCCGTCGAGGGTCATTAGGGACCCTTGTTTAGACATTAGCCGAGGGCACTGGGGGCAGAGTCAGAGTTCAGACCGTGTTATAATATTAACCATCCCTGGATTGTATGGGAAAAATTATGGTGACATTCATAACTTTGCAAGCTTTGACCTCAATTCCGTACAATCTTGGATTGTTTATGGATTATATGACTATTGTATGACTATGACCATGGAAGTTAAAGTTGAACAACTTTCTACGTAATAACAACCGATTAACATTAAAGACGAGTACCTACATCACTATTCTTCTGTTTGTCGACGATATTGTGGTCATGGCAGAATCTATTGAAGATCTTGGCGCAATGCTCAAATACCTTAGTCGAGTTTCCCAACAGATAGGCCTGCGAATGAACATAGAAGTTAGATAAAACGAAGCTTAATGTCGAATGTCCATGTTGCGCCTTACACAGTTTCGGTTGGTTGGGAGCTCAATTCTCGAGATTGTTGATAAGTATGTCTACGTCTGACAAACGATTCAGCCAGGTAGGTCCAATTTCGAGAAAGAGGTCAATCGTCGAATCCAACTCGTCTGGGCAGCGTTTGGGAAATTACGCAACATCTTGTCGTCCACAATATTTCAGTCCCTAAAGACGAAAGTCTACAACCAAAATGTGTGTTACGTTGTAATACGTATTACGACCTATGGTTCGGAAACGTTACGACTTAAAAGCCTTAAACAGAAGCTTAAAGTTGCACAGCGTGCTATGGAGAGGGCTATGCTCGGTGTTTCTTTACGAGATCGAATTAGAAATGAGGATATCCGTAAACGAACTAAAGTCGCTGACAAAGCCCGACGGATTAAGCAATCTGAAGTGGCAATGGGCAAGGCACATTATAGTACCTATGCAGAACTGACGGCCGATGGGGCAGCAAGGTTCTGGAGTGGAGGCCGCGTACCGGAAAACGCAGCGTGGTACGTCCACCCACAAGGTGAACCGACGACATCATAATGGTAGCAGGAAGGCGCTGGACGCAGGTCACTACCAATCGATCAACATGGAAATCATTGGGCGAGGCCTATGTTCAGCATTGGACGTCCTATTGCTGAAATGATGATTATGATGATGATCCTTACTACTGTACTACGAAATCCGAACTACTTACCTATCAATTTTATTTATCCCAAGACATCTTATTTAACATTGAACTCCAAAAATAATTCATCCACCTCTCCCACTGTCCGTGACTTCAACAGAATTCGAGGAAAAGTAATTTCTACCCAACTTCAATTTACGGGAAAGCCTTCAAAGAAACTCGATTTCAAATTGGAGACGTTTAAAGTTACAGAGAAACCGAATACTGTGTAAAAAGAAAATAAATCGATGCGTTGTGGAGCTGATTAGGTACACATTATCATCATCATGCTCGCGCGCGAGGACCTGGCGGGTAAACACCTCGGGACGCACGCGCCGCGTACGAATACAATCAGACGGGCCAACTACATGCCTGTCGTTTGCCTTTGCCGTACCTATACAAATAAAAACAAGATTCTGACGTTAAAAGAACCATTTTACTCATGACTGCGGACTGTGTGGGAAGAAAGCCTTTCGTTATAGTAGGTCTAACTATTTATTATTTATGAGTTACTAGCTGTCCCGATAGTTTACTCAATTTCTTTAATGTTCCGTGCAATTTTCTTATTTTTTTAGAAATTGGTCCAGCCTTTCACACGTGATATCCAGTCCAAGAGAAATTACACTACCTTACTTATTATACTACTGTAGCGCGCCTAATAACGCCAGCTATCGCCAATCCAGGTAGTCTGGCCGATTCGCCTCGTTCGCGCCATATGCGACAACCAACCAACGAACACCACTCCAGTTCGCGCCCTAAGCGTCGGCCAATCAAACGGCCCAAAAGATACCACGACTAGGGGCTGCGGTGTTTCTATTGTTTTTATTGCTTTGTATTGTATTAGTTTGTATTGTTTTTGCCTTACTGCGTCTTCGCAGTAACAAGCCAGTTGATTGTGAGCTTCGAAGCGAAATACACACTTGCCAACATACTCCTGCGTCGTGTTCTTCATTTTAAAAAGAACCCAAACCCTGAGAAGAGCCCAACACTGAAGAGTCTCACGCTAAATTGGCCGCCCAACGTGAGTCACTTTGAAGAACGCTGCCACGCTAAATTGGCCGCCCAACGTGAGTCACTTTGAAGAACGCTGCCACGCTAAATTGGCGCCCAACGTGGGGCAAGTTGAAGAACGCTGCCACGCACAAACTGGCAGCTCAACGACGAGCAAGTTAAAAGAACACGACCTCCGTGGTATTTATAAAATTTTAAGAAAATGCCACGCCCTGTGACACGCCGCAATACAAATCGCCGCCAGACCGACTTTTTCGACGTGGAAGACGATGGACGCGACAACAACGTTGCAAGAACGCCGACGCCAACGCCAACGCCAGCGCCGACGCCCATCACCGTGGACGATCTCACCGCCATGATGGTGTCCCTGCAACAGTCGCAAGCAGAAAACTTTGAGCGCCTGCTATCAAGAGTGCTCGAGTGCCGCTCGCCATCTTCACAGCCCGCGCCGGCCCACGCCGCGCAGTGCTCTTCCACGCCGCCGCCCGCTCAACCTGTATCTGGAACGTTCGCCACGTGCAAATCGACCTACAGCGGAGCGCCCACCGAGTCCCTCGAAGGTTTTATCGATGCTTTGGAGTCATTTAAAGATTGCGCTGATGTTAGTGATGCTAACGCCTTACGTGGTTTGTCGATGCTTCTCACGCACGACGCAGCCACGTGGTGGCAGGGAGTTAAGTCCACGATCACCTCGTGGAGCAAAGCCCTGCAGCATCTCCGCAGCGCCTTCGGCGACAGTAGATCACCTCGTGGAGCAAAGCCCTGCAGCACCTCCGCAGCGCCTTCGGCGACAGTAGGCCTCCACACCGGATCTACAGGGAGTTG